CATTGCATGCGCTTCGCATTTTGTTTAGCAGCTTGAGTTTAGCTAACAGTATCATCTCTCTTCCTGCTAATCACGAAGACGGCATCCTTCAAATTGGATTTTCCGAGGGTGATTGGCGTCACATCTTCTGTGAGAGTGACCTTTCGGGCTCCAGTGAACGTCAAAAGATAGAACACAAAGCCCTTTTTGAGTTGAAATTCATGCCTCTGCCCTGCTAAGCAGTGTTCATTGAGGAGTACCATGTCATCTCCATCCCCGATGGCCGCTCCTCTTGTCACTCTCACACATGGATTTATCTGAACACCAGAGATTTGCTGTCCAGGAATCACCAAAATGTATACTCTCAACATAAGCGCGGCCATGGAGAAAGCCTTCCGTGCTAACTGGCTCGGCACATAGCCAGTGAGAGAAGCCATGATGCTGACGATTCCTTGGATTTTCCCTAGCTTGTCCATCAATCCAAAGGAAGCACTGAAGCGGGAGCTCCCAAGATCGTCAGCAGCTGCTTTCAAGACCTGTGCAGCCTCTTCCTCGGAGGTATCATTCACCGCGAGCTTCGCACTGGATGACGACGTCAAAGCTCCTGTGTCCCCTACGGACTTCATCAAATCATTTCGCATATTGTCAATGCTGAGATTTGACAACCCAACAGAGGCCGGAACATCTCGGACAAAGGAGAGCACCACGACAAGAAGGAACGTTCATGGAGCTCCGTCTCCAGGTCCAGCTCCAGCGAAGAACAAGTTCGCCAAGAATCCCTCAAGGTCCACATACTCCTCTGATGCCACCTCACTAATGAAGCGGAGGCGAATAGCCTGGAGAGTCGTCGACATCCAATAAGTCGCCGGTTCCTTTCCTGGCTCTTTACGATAAGGATCCCCATGCGCTGAGCAAATCGAGGAAAAGAGAAGAAACATGATCGGGCGAATCAGCTTTAACCATGCTAAGTTGATCTGAACCCTATTCACTGGGAAAGAAGCAGCTTCAGACCTAAGGTCTTGTAGACGAGCAAGCTTCCCAATCTCAGTGATTGGATAAGATTCAATCCATGATTCTTCTTCTAGAGCGATTTGCCCGGTGCCGAATGAGGCCCAGTTGACGTACGCCAATATGAGCAAAGAAGTCGTAGCTAGGCGTCGTCCACTGCGTGTCCTGACCCCCGAAAAGACCGCGCAAGTCATTTGGATCGTCATTTCTAGGAGCTCGTAGCTCTGCAAATCAAGGCAGGAATTTCGGAGCCCCAGAAAAAGAATCGTCAAGAATGCTACCGCAAGCTCCCCGTAAGTAATTCGCGCGGTTCCGGCATTCCGCATGACTCCAAAAGTGAATGCAATGACGCATCCGGCAAACCCTCCAATGACTTGGTCCCATGTCCTGTCCATGTACCAGACATACAATGCAGACAAGCCTAAAGCTACCAACCATCCAAGTCCTGCCAAGTAAGCACGCAACTCTCGAGTGGTCGCTAAACGTGGCACCAATGTCGCGATCAAGAAAATCACTGCATTGCTCATAGAAGCCTTGATGGCTGCCTTATCAACGTCACCAGAGAATGCCATTACACGCTTCCAAGCCTTCCGTGACGAGTATCCAGCCACCAAAGATGCTGCATCATCCCATGGAACTTGTTGAGGCAAAATCCCATAAAGGACTTGAACGCGCCATGATTCCTCATGCTTTCTCTTCTTCGAAAGCGCGACCTTTCTGCCCTTTGGTCCAGGAATTGGTTTTGAGTACACTGATCCAATGTCCAACAACACTGCAGGGTTCCACACCGAGGCTCTTCCCTTGAAGATAAGGACATCCTGAGTTGAGCCCTTGAGGATCGTATCCTTCCACGTGATGTCCTTCGCAAGTGCAGTACCCATGTCCAGGACGTGAAATTCACATTCATGAAGAACAATCGTGAATACGACATATCCATAACACTGGATAGGACTCGATGGAACCACCTCATCTTCCATCGCGGCTGGCTCATCATCATTGGAAGGACGGGCGTAGCAAATGTCTCCCAAATCTCCAAGCGGAATTCCAAAATACGCAATGTCTGAGCCAAAGACAGAGTTGTCACCCAAAATGATCTTACCATTTGGGATTGAAAGATCATAGTCAAGCATCGTTAAATATCCTGCCTGGAGAAGATCAGATCTTGTCAACGCTTGAACCCGCCTCGAGACATAAGGGATGGGCAAACCCCTACACTTCTGAGGCCGTCCTAATTCTGTGGCCCTGGTCCAATTTCCATTCTTCCATGTCGCCGTCTCCTTCCTAACATGCTCCATTGGATCGAAGTCTCTCGTCAACCAAAGCTTGCCACCATGTAAGAAGAACCCACTGCTAGTGTGACCTGACCTTTCACTCGCAAACGACGGAACATCTGCAGAAACCGACACACCAGACCAAAGCACGACCTCTGATGAAGAAGTTGCAAAACCAGCTGGAGCTGCCGCTTCCCTCATGCCCGCATACATGGTCGTCGTCCACGTAGTGGCGGCACTGTCCCTCCAAAGATGGCAGGCTGCACCAGCCTCATAAGCTCTGCAAGTTTCGTCATCGCGGCACCGGTTAACACAATCCTCTGGAGAAGTGGAGATTGTGTCACTGGGCGCCACGGAAGGGACACGGCGCGAGCCTCTCAGAGCAAACCTCTCATGAAAGAGATGACCATAGGCCACCATAGCTCCATTAGCGTCTCTCAGTACGGATGCTCCTTGACTCACTTCGTCACAAGTCTAAGCTAATATATAGATATATATATATATATGGCTATACTTAAATTGTCTTCTCCACTCTCTGGCACCCCATCTGTCAGTCGAATGAACGTATCTCTCATTATTGTCGACGTTCTTCGTTCTTATGCCATCCGGGGGCTGCAAATTGAATCATCTTTCCCTACAAAATCCACAGATCCACCCAACCTCAGGTTCGGTACGACTGGACCCTACATTGCATACAAGACCGCCTAGCATACCTACGTGTGTCCAATCACCGTACCTCAGAAAATTGCAGTCCAAATCTGTTTGCACCATGTTTGGGGTATTTGTTGGATGAGTCTTTCGTTACTGAAAAGCATCACTGAGGTCCATGATTGCGAGCACAATCATCAGCCCGGTTTTCAACTCCAATTCAACCCAGCAAATTGCAAAAGCTGCATGACTACACTACAAAAAAAACAACCACAACAACAACAACAACAACATTGAAACAACTATCCTGTTGGCTCCTGAGAAGGCTATCACCGACGCCACCTGGCTACCACACCGACCCCACCTGGTTACCTCACAGTCCAAAGACCGACACCGGACACAAGAGACTAGGTCCCAGTGCAACAAATGGTGCCCGGCATATGCGTCCGGCCTCGGCCTGTCCCCCACTCTGCCAAACCGACACTCCCTGCGACTGGCCGTCCCCCCACGCCGGTCCCGGACCCGGCCCGGTGGCCGCGCTCCGGCGGCCGTTCCGGCGCCTGCTTCAAGCCCTGACGCACGGTACGGAAGAAGTCCACCAAGACCTTGGAAAGGTGACTGGTGCTCATGGGATCGCTGCGGATTTGTTGACCTTCCCAAAAAGAGTGGATCCAGTTACCATGAATGTTTGTATCAGTAACCAGTTGGTTCCGAAGACCAAAACCATAGATCGAACCAAAACCTGGTTTTGCATGCGATGTCAGGGTTTGGACGGGGCATGTTCATGCGACGTCACCGGTCATGTTCGGAACCCTGCATCTCACACGCTGTACGGACAAACCCTCGGCCTTCTGTAACCCAGAACTTAAGGCGAAGGACAATAGGGTTGGGGAATACGCAGTCCAAAAGGATAAGTGCATTGTACCGGCAGTCTTGCCCAGCAACGCACTGCATGTTCTCCTGGCTTTGACTCGACCCAACAGCTCGACAATACTCACAAAGATATATCTGTGTGTTGTAAGGGTAGTTTGTGGACCTAGTGGCCCGGATGTTAACATCCCATCTACTACCTGATGTCTGGCCGCTGCACTCATTCAACAAGCCAGGAAAGAGGCGCCGCAAGCGGGTGCACGAATCTCGATCTGGGGTCACAAGCCATGAAACACAAACCGTGAAACTTGAGGCCAGAGGGGATGAACGAAAGCTAGCCGGGCTTCCGGTGGTCTGCTGCTGGTGCTGCTGCTGCTGGTGCTGCTGCTGCCGCTGCTGCGCTGGGTGCTCTGCAGGCGCCGGGTCGTCTGCTGCTGCTGCTGGCGCTGGGTGGTCTGCTGCGGCTGCTGCTGCCGCGGCGTTGGGTATGCTGCTGCTGCTGCTGCCGCCGCTGGGTGGTCTGCTGCTGCTGCTGGTGCTGCTGCGCTGGGCGCTGCAGATGCTTGGTGTGCTGCAGCTGCTTGGTGGTCCCGCTCACCGCGCGCAGGGGGGAGTCGAACCGCGGGGGGGGGGGGGGGGGGCCATAAGATTGATTTAATCAATTATTTGAGGTTTCTGAGGTGCGTCCACCCCGTCACTTAACTTGCTAAAGCAAGAGCAACTCCAGCTAGCTAAGGCTAGCTTTCGTGAAAAACACGATGCAACTACGAAACACATGCTGATCATACAAACAAAAGGTTCGATCATGTTGAAAGCTGGCTGGTGGAAGGCAGGTAGTTGCAGCTGGCACGGCAACAAATACGGACTCCTGGTGCGGCCTTGTGCCCCAAATCCTATAGTTCCCCAGGTCCAAAGCAAACCCTGTCACCGCACATCGCGAGCCAGGAGATGAGAGATGATTTTGGGAAACGAGTTGGTGGGGCATGGCCCCCAATAATTACGCAAGTGATGCCTAAACACTTCTTGAAACAGTTGAACAAATATGACAAACACTCATGGACTCTTCACCTAGCCAGCCTGGGGTTGAGTCTTGAACGACAACCCTTAGATCGGGTGCCCCAACCCGATCAATGTTGACGTTCACTCGGGCCGTGCTGGCATTGCCTCGGTCCGGATGCGGCGCGTGGTGCGAAACCGAAACTTGGTTTCCCAGTTCCGGGGAATGTTCACATACAATCCCACTCTCCCACTTTTTTCATGAAAAACATTCCTGTGTTAGGGAGGACGAGCTGTCCATGAACAAACACAGAGGGGATATGCGTTTGAAGATGTCAGATGTCTATTTTGGGTTTGCAATATTTTCTGGGTCAAAGCCGGGGGACCCTGGTTTTCCCCAACGAAAATGAATAGCCTACCAGGGAGATCAACTTACCAGGGTTTGGGGTACCAAGTTTTGACTCACACCCAGCTGGCAAAAGTCAGGTCCCGATCCAGAGGCCGAAGGTTGTATGAGTGCTGAGTCAGAGGCAGCAGGTACTTGCCTTCTCAAAGCACGCCAAATGGCACGTTCAATTGGGAAGGCTCTATACAGCCTCCACTCGTTTCATTCACATTCACAGCTCATGGTGGACTGTTCCACGAATGAAAACCCTTTTGAAAGGTAAAACCACATGAGCTGGGGCATTACAGAAACAACTTTCATCTGCATGAGCTGCATGGCAGCTCACTCCTTGCAAACTCCTTAAAATGAAATGATTCCAAACAACAAACGTGTCCGTCACATGGCCAGGATACAAGTACCCCACAGGTCCAAAGACCTAGTAGAACCTGGTGTTTTATCAAATCACACAGGCACAGTGATGCAGCGATCTTCTTTGTCACACTTGAGGGAGGGGTGAGCAAAAGGTAGCTATTGGTAGCTACCATATCTTGTGGTCATGTGTGAGAAATGGTTGCAAAAGCTGGTGCCCCCCCCAAAAGTGAATTTTGAGGCGGGAGGCATAGAGGATGAGAATCGGCTTGAGACAAGAAGGGCAGCAGTAGCAAGAACAGCGGAAACGGCAAGCGCAAGAGCAAGAACAGTAAGACCTAACAGAAAAAGCAACAGCACAAGAGCAGCCGGAAGAGCAGCAGGAGCAGCAGCGGCAGCAGGAGGAGGAGAAGCAGCAAGAGCAGCAGCAGAAGCAAAAGCAGCAAGAGCAACAGCAGCGGCTTGGCAGCAGCAGCAGCAGCAAGAGCAGCAGGTTGAGCAGCAAGAGTAGCAGCAAGAGCAGCAAGCTGAGCAGCAAAAGCGCAAGCAAGAGTTGCAAGAGCAACAGTAAAAGCAGCAAGACCAGAAGGAAGAGCAGTAGCAGCAGGAGCAGCAGCCAGAGCAAGAGCAGCAAGAGCAGAAGCTGTCACACATCAGCCATCTTCTTTTTTGCGGCGTCGCTCGCTGAACACTCAGCTAGTCAGGGCCCATGGGCTTCGATAGTGCTGCCAGCATGTCGTGCAGCCAAGCCTTGCTGGAGCGAATCTCGCCGAACCTGGTCGGTTGTAAATCCAAAATAGTTCACGGGTCCCACCGCCATCTCCGGTTAGTTCAGGCAGGACCACCCCATGGTGTTGGGGCCGAGGTACTGGCTATCACGGTGCCCTGTGCACTCTGGAGTTGCAGTGGACTATGACGGGCCGGTCTCCTAGGCGGAGACGGACGGCGCACGGAACACTCCATACCAGGACCCTCCTGTCGGGGTGCCCTGTCTGGAAGCCGAACGGCCGGTAGTGTGGGGTAGTCCAGCCAGGACACCCCGAGGGTCGGAGGGTCCTGGTAGGATGCAAAGTTAGTTCAACTAAAGCCAATCTATTGCAAAACACTTCACGGTTGATGTGCCTCCGCCCGGAGAGGAGCGGCGAGCCGCGTTGGTCCGCAGCCGACCGCGCTGTCGCGACCGGGCACCCGAGCAGCAAATCTCGTTCCGTCTCCGCTCCTCGGATCGTTCAGATCGGAGGGCCGGGCGCATGGGCGCGACGTGTCATTTCCGCGCTCCCCACACAGCCGAGCGCACCTGATTGTGCTGAAAGGGGTATGGAAGGCACATATGAATATCTATTTGGATTTGCCATCCAGGAACCGGGAAAAAGTAGAAAAGATTCCGAAGGGATTTACCTGGACACGACTAATGGGACTGGCATATATGCATATATCCCCAAAAGCACCCCAACTGATCGGCATTTATATAGCATACATGGAGTGTCTGGGCTAGGAAAAATACAACATCACCCTAAAACCAGGAATAGACACTCCAAAGGGGAGGGCCTGGTACTGATATTATTAGACCCGGATCTTCGTGCCAGCAATCGAGCTTTCGATTCAACAAGCCAGAAAACGGACATCTTGCATAGTTGGAAGACCCAAATATGCATCTTGAAGAGGTACTTAGGTCGGATCTTGCGGGACTTGACTTAACAATTCAATTGATCTAGTTGGAGCACATATATGACATGTGCAAATACAGTTTTTGAGTTACCAATCTGAGAGTGCTTCAGTGTAAATAGAAAAACAACATCGACGTTGCGGAAGGTGTCAAATTATATCTAATTCATGAAGTTCTGAGATTGCATAGTGTTTTCACATATTGTTCTGATTAGAGTCTGATTTGATACCTATTTTACTTGCCTTTGTGCATCACGCAAGGTGTCACCAAGTTGGTTGATGTTTGTCAGAATGCTAGCAACCAAGCACATATTAAATCATGGGAATAACATGCGACGAGCGTGAAAGCCTACAGCAAGTTTAACTGCGAAATCCTATGTCTAACCGTGACATACCAGTGAAATCGTACCTGAAAAGAACGTGGCTTTGAGATGTTTTGAGATACTTTGAGTGTCATTGGATGATTTCCGTGAAGACGGATAGGGCTTTGAGATGAAAAAGTCGGACTAATCCTCGATGATTCTGCTGTGATGTCTGCTTAACATCAACATTGACAAACGCTTCTCCTTGTCTTAGCACAGTAAACTTGAGGCTTAGTCATTGACCAATTCCTATATAAGTTAGCTAGCATTACTGGAATTCTAAAGATCTCATGCTTCATGATGTCTCTTGAAACGTGAGCGAAGGTTGAATGTACATAAGCCCATGTAATTAGATAGACACAATGTCCAATACAACACATACAAGAGGTTTGTGAGCAGAACACAGAACATCTCAACACATGTCAGGTCCTTCAATTCTTGGAAGGTCAAATGGCTGTGAGTGATGGCCCTTCTCCCACCAAGCTGTGATCGGTTCTGAAAGGATTGACTGACTGTTTCTCTCCCAAAAACAACCACCCACTGTTCTGACTGGTGCGACTCGTAGGGAATAAAGGATTGGATCTTATGGAAAAAAACAACTAGTGGGGGGAGGCATTCCCCCCCATTTTCCTGCTTTGCTCTTCCACTCCAAAAGTCCGGCATCTTTTTGCCGGTCTAAGAAGACGACCGAAAAAGATGTCTTGCAACGGACGGGCTCCGTCTGACTCCGCGAGCTTGGCCCGAGGGGCCAAGTCCACGGTGACCTCGAACTGTTCCACCAAGGGAAGCAGCTGCGCAGCGGCCGCGTCGTGGCCTCGTTTGCAAGCGTTGAGCACAGCGAGCTGTGCCCAGGCGGCCAACTCCCAATCAGTTGGCCAACTGGGTGCGGGGCTTCTCGAAATCTCTGGCCGCTTCTGTGTTCGAACCTCCTGTCCGCGTTTCTCTTGGTTCCCAGACCCAGTTCCAACATCTAATATCCCAAACACTCCAGCCCAATGTAGGCAAACATATGCCATAATTATATATATATGCCATATATATATATATACATTCAGATAATTTAATAATATAATATAATATACATGGAGTGTTTGGGTATGGCTGTGGGTCGTGGCACCTCACCCTATAGAACCTTGGATTCCCGTAACCTTCGGATCTCCGACTCAACGGCTCCTTCACTCCTTCACCCCGAGGAGCGGGAAGAAGAAGGGCCACATCGTGCGATGGTTTGCTTTATCTATAGTATAACATATATGTATTACCAGGAGTCACAAAGGGGTGGTTTTTAGTCCCTAAGTGGGTGGATAATGGGCACCCCTATCCTCCAATAGGCTTAAGCTTTATCTTATATGTACCAGGACCCTCCGACCCTCGTAATGTCCTGGCTGGACTACCCCATACTACCTATAGTGACCTATAGGCTTCCAGACAGGGCACCCCGACAGGAGGGTCCTGGTATATATATACATATATGCCTTTGCTATGACCAGTTTGTACAGATCCCTTAGTGGTTTCCAGTGTGAGCGTCTGCCAAAACGTACTGGAAGAAGCAAAGGACATGATGCAGCAAGGTTACAGCTTTTGAGGTGTTAGCCCAACTTCTGAAATTCACGATCGCTCTTTACTAAATGAGTCATTGCACATTCTGGCGGGTGCTCATGTGGTTCTCTGGACGCCTGTTTGCTCACCTCTGGCCAGTCAGGTTACCTTTCCATCAAGGTCGTCCCTTGCGCCTTCCTCCCGGAACAAAGCCGGAGCCTACAACACCCGACCGACATCTCACCCCCACGACGCACCCAACGTCGGGACCGCTGAAGCTCAACGGTCGGGGCGTCCCGGCACACCACGTCGCAGGTGAGCAGAAAGCACAACGGATCCATCTCAGCGGGACTCAATGGGCCTCCGACGCGGGAGGCGCCCCGACACGCGCATCCATCTCGCGAAGGTCCCAAGCCTGCCTGCCCTTCTCAAAGGCTAGGGCCTAGGGATAGTCTGGCTAGGGATCATGACAAACCAGATTCAACCTTTGTACTCCGAACGCCCTCAATCTGCCCATCCCTCTGGTGCGCGAGAGTCTTCTGGCCCGCGACGTCTGAAGTCTTTCTTCGGCGTGCCTCGCACGTGGAAGTCAGAGATCCGGAGCGCCACCCAGCGCGATGGAGCCAAAACGCCCCCTGGCGAGATCGACAGAACGACAAAGAAAACATTGGAACAAAAACACCTACCAGGACCCTCCACGGGGTGTCCAATGGACTACCCCACACTACCTATATCGGCTTCCATTGGGCACCCCTTGGAGGGTCCTGGTATAGATATAGGGATCCAGTCGTACCGAACCTCAGAAGGTACGACTGGACCTTCCAAACACCTGCATATGTAACGGTGTCTCCAATCACCGTACCTGAGAAAATAGGTGCAAATACCATGGGCGGGCATATACAACGAGGAGTTTAAAGACATGATTCAGCCATCCACAAGTGCACATGTGCGGCTGTCAAAATGTAATCACATAGATTGGGGGCCCATCGCTTCCCTCAGTTTTGGACAACTTTGGACTCCAGCTTGGAAGGAAGGCCTTGCTTTCTTGTATAGACAAGTGTATCTATGAGCACGAGCACTCAAACAAAACAAAGTTTACGCAAGCTTCACTCGAGTCGAGGGTATCAGCAAAGCTCAGCTGACACTAGAAGAGCTTTGCAAGCAGCTAACAGCATTCACCAAATATCTCTGTTGGTTACAAACCAACCTAAGTTTAAGTGGGCAACTGATGGACTGACATGATCAAGGGCATCGCTTAGGGTATTGCTTAGGCATCGCTAAAGGTGTCGCGTCAAATCCCTGAGTTTGGGCCCTATAGGAAATGACTACCTTTTCAGATCAAGAAGCTCTTGAAAGAAGAAACGCATGTCAAGCAAATACACTTGGACAATGCTCATGCTTCATGTTCTGGGAGGGCATCGCTTTTGGAGCATCGCTTCCCTGGTTTTTGCAAATTCTCAAAGAAGGCTGCTCACATTTTCGACTCTACATTTTTGACGGTTGCTCACACGATGATAAACATGTCAAATGCCCTAGGGATCCAGTCGTACCTCCTCAAAGGTACGACTGGACTCTCCTGGCACCCGGGCACCCAGTCAACACCGAACCTCAGAGGGTATGACGGGATCCGTATCGCGAACACACCGTCCTCCGTACTCTACCCGAAGCGCTCCGTCTGCTCCACCGACCGCTCCACCCCATGTCCGCTCAAAGATCCCATGGCGCCTGCCAGGCGCAGTTGCAACTCGCCCAGGGCATCAAGCTCCAGCTTCCAGCAAGTCTGGGCGCTGGAAAAGAGGAGGTGATGGAGCAATTGAAGGACGGAACCTGACGGAACCTTCATGGTTCCTTTCATCGTCATCGTCATACCTGGAACCCAAATAAGTCACCTGTTGAGTAGCATGTGTCTGCACCCCTGGAACCCAGACTCGAAAAAAGGCCCTAATTCGGCCCTGAGGGTGGTTTGGGTCCTCGTTCGTGGATCCCAGGCTCAGCGGATCCTCCACCGGTGGCCTGTGGAGCAGCCACCTTGGCCGCATCGACCTGCGCGGTTCGAAGAACGCAGCGGTGGGGAAGGTTTCGACTCCAAACCAGGCACCACAGTGGAATCACCAAATCAATACACCAACCAACTTCCAAGCAGCGTTGATTCATCAAATTCTAGAACCATCCTGGCATACACGGGGTTCTCTATTCATCAGTCAACCTTGATTTTACACGGGGTGCCAGGCGCACCCATGGTGTCACGCACTGGATCGCCCCGTGGAGTACTTCCCCGTTCGATGGGTCCCGGATGCAGGAGTTGGAGAACCCTCGCATCTACCTGGACCTGACTTCAAGTACCCTATGAACGATGCAACAAATGCGTATACGTCGATGGTACTTAGTGTTCTCATTCTCGGAGAATTGGCCGAGAACCTTTGAGACTCCAGGTCTTCCGGTCTGATAGATCCGCTGCCACCCCCTCTATGGTGTGGACACGGAGAGGACCAGCGAAGTGAGGGTCCAGGATACACCGAATCGGAGTTTCTGTGTGGATGCCTTTACCTGGTGCAAAAGTCCTATAGAACAGAAAGGCCTCCAGCCCGCCATGAAAAGTAGGGCTGGAGGAGCCCATTTGGGCCATTTGATGTTATTGGTGTGGTTTCAGGGGTCGACGTAGGCATACTTGTAAGCAATATATACCATACACTGGCCTGCTTTTAAAGAAGTTGATAAGTTGATTGCATGTTTTTAATATAGGTTCAGACAGCAGGCAAACCCTGTTTATGATCAGGCTAATTGGGGGAAGACCCCGCTCCACCCCACTCCACTCCACCCCACTCCACTCCATTCCACTCCATTCCACTCAATTCCACTCCACTCCACTCCCCCACTGGGAGACTGAGCCGTGGGTGACAACCCCTGGAGTTCCCTGCCAGACCCACTGATCCTCAAGTTCAAGCCAACAAAAAATAGATTTGATGTGTTAAAGAAAAACTGTGATCTACCAGGTTGTGACGGTCGCAGTCTGGTAGAACCATCGCTAGCGGTAGTGAGACACCCAGCAGGGTCATGGTTTCACTGGACCTGGTTCAAAAGACCGTCCTGCGCCCCAAGTGCATGCGACAATCACTACTTTGAGGGTGCTCCAGCGAATTCAAAACCCAACAAGAACCATCGCTAGCCGCTAGCGGTAGTGATTGGTGTAAGGGCTTGCGACACTCGCCACTTGGTAGATCAGTGTTTAGCTTAGTGACAGCCAACATTTTTCTTTGGGATTGCACCTTTGACATTCTCCACAAGTGCTTTACATGGACCGTGTTGGACATCCAGTGGATCAAGACATCAAGGTCTCCAAAGGAATGTTTGGTATCCCATTGAGACCATGATTCAAACCTGCCATCAACCCTCCCACAATACTCATTTGTATTAAAATATGGGGTTGTGCAACTACTAAACTTGGTAGACTTTAGATCATCAGTGGCTTGAACCCAACATGTTTCTCTGGGGATTGAACCTGAATCTGAAGGAGGTCCCCGTTAAACACATGGGCATACCCTGATTTCTATTAAATTAAAGCAATTGGACACCGTGACACGATGTTGAATCTGACTCAGGACTCAGCGTTAACTAACAAGAGCAATATTTTTAAGCTATCAACATATCAACAGTTATAGATCTATATAGGAAACCCAGTATATGGAGTGTCTGGATATGTATGGGGATTGTAACCAACCGCACCTCCCAGCTTCGCACGTCTCGGTCCTTCGCCTGCCGGAAGGAGGCTTCCGACGCCAGGGTGGAGGTACTCGCCCGACGGACTCGAGGAGCGGCGCCTTCGGGTGCAACGAAACAGGGAAACCCTGGGGCTCCAGGTCGCACCGACTCGGTTCGGACCTGGGAGCCCCGGTACGTGCCAGGGTGCCGGGGGTCCTACTGAGTTTCGGAGTCGGACTGAACTGGAGCCAGCCTGGATGAGTCGTACCTTCGCTCCAGTTCCGGGAGCCAACCCCCGCTGACCCTGCAGGGCCACCCCTCCCCCAGCGCCTGAGAAGAGTGTGGGCCACTTCCGCACGGTTTCGGTTTCCTGTCAGTGACTCCAAGCGCAGATGGCTGGGAAGCGCACCGAATCCAAAAAGGGTCAGGACATTCACCCAGTCCCACGACCTGTCTGGAACTGGAACATGTTGCAACCAAAAACCGCCCCAGAAAGAACCCCGCAAAATCACCCCGGCAAATATGGCAGTCCCGTCTCTAAGAAAGGACATGATTTTGGAGGATTGCCTTGATCCCTAAAAGGCGTACTGGGCGTTTCCAATTTGGACTCCCTTAACGTCCCACTTGCCGCAAAACACTTTTTCCCTTCTCACTCCCGGAAAAAACATCACGGAAGTGGGCAATATATTACCGATTACCTGTTTGGTATGAGGATTTCATGGTCATCTTTTTGGAGCCATGCCGCGGAACGATGAATGATATCGTGTTCAGAGTACCAGGACCTTCCAATTGGGAGGTGCCGACAGGACAATAACCTCTGAACGAGGGGCGGCTGGAAGTAGTCATGATTCCCTATATTGTAAGGAATGTCAAACCTTCCTTTGGTTTGTAGAGGTTCATAGCCCAAGCTTCCCCAGTGGTGTTGTCCCCATCGAAAGAACTCTAAATGCACCCACCCTGTCAACGAAAAAACATGGGGAAAAAGCGGACGGTCGCACCGCATGGCAGCCGCCGCAAACGGGGGTCTCACCGGTCCATCCGCTGACCCCAAAAAGGCGGCGCTGAACCACGAGTCGCTTCACGCGACTTCACCCCCAAATCGACCAGCGACGCGGCTCGCGGCTCGCGGCTCTCTCTCTGTTCGCGGATCGATCAGGCATCTTTTCCAGCGGCGCTGAAGGAGAATGGCGCGGATCCCTCGAAGTTCAGAGGGACTCCACCACGGGCTCGACCACGGTGACGGACCTGAGGACGGGTCGGACGGAGGGGCAAGAACCTGTTGGAAGAAGCAAGGATATGAATGTAACTCAACCAAATGAATCCCAGGCTCCTAGATCCTCACAACACCACAAGAAAAATACGTGTCAGCACAGATCAGCACAGTGCCTGTGACAGGGCTGGTTGATGATGTTTCTTGGCTTCTCTTTGAGAGTGGGTGCCAGGAAACTCGGGGGAACATGTTGGAGCCAGGGGAACGCAAGCTTTGGAGACTTTGGGTGAGCCCTACAGGAAGCATTGGCGCTGGCTGGAGTGAAATAGTGTTCATATGGGCTCATAGTATGGATGTATATCTTGTTAACTTGCTGGGCACCACATACGACCGGCGCACAACAAAAACTCCAGATTATTCACTCTGCAATTGCGTCGGAAGCCAGTCGAATCATTGAATTCATAGCTCAGGAGGCTTTTCCATGCTGTTCCACTCAAGAGAAAATATGGAATCTGATAGAAAGTTGTTTGAACAAGTAATCTATACTTAATTATACTTCCATCTTCATGATCTCCTCTCTCCAAATCAATCCCTTGGAACGGTCGAACGACATGCCTAAAAAACCCCTGTTTCATGGCCTTCGCCGACCACAAATCTCGTCCAAGTCGAAGAAGTCGCCGACATGAATGAAACGCTGGGCGGCGACCCCCCAACACCCATTGCTTTCCCAACTCTTCCACTTCCCGGCCGCGGTCCCCGCCCTTCCATCGAAAAAGGCGGCGCCTGAAGCGCCGAGACTTCAACTTCACCTCAAACTTCATCCGAGCCTTCGAACTCCTCGTCATCCTCCAGGTGCTCGTTGCCTCGGCGTTTTCGCGGTCAACATGGGGTCAACGTGTTGCTAAACAACAACGTCGCACGTGTGGCAAGCAGAAACTTGGAGTCGCATGAAGCAAACTAGACGAAATGGATTCATGTGCATTCTCAATCAGTTTGCCCCCGTTTTTTGCACTACTGATCGTTGCTCGCCAGGGACTTGAATTTGTCACACATCGATCTGTGAACTTTGGCCATATCAGCTTGTTCATCAGTGTTCCTCTCAAGCACGCGACTACTCTAAAATACACAAACGAACACCGCAGGAAAAATACACGTACAAATCGTACAAATACATACAAATACTAACGGTGTTGCAAAGGAATGCAGTTGTTGATGGCACGGCTAAATTGTCCAAAGGAATCCAAAGTTAGGAACAGTTTGAAACACCGTGGCAAACGAACTGCAACTGGAACATGTTGGTTTCTCTTCATACCTGATGTTGTTCCCGCCGCAAAACTTTTCTTGTCACACTCCTGAAAACTAGCCAGTCGGACCCCGCAACCTCCCCCACCACGCTGGACATGTTTTTTGCCCCTCCCTATTGAGCCCCCACACGCCACGTTCGCGCATAAATCCTGGTGAATTCGTCGTAGTCACACTCGAAGTCCTTAGATTGGAACTCCTGCGCGGCAGAAATTCTCCGGGTGGACAACGGACCGTGATCATGTTGTGCATGCAGTGTCAAGTGTCATTCCGGTCATTCCAACGGTAGTCCGACCTTTCTTTCATGGGATCTCTTACTTGGTCACCCAATTGTGCATCGGCTGGTGCGCCCAATGGTGTGATTCCGGTTGAAACACGATGGATTCCGGTTTCACGATGGAGTTGAAACCGATGGATTCCGGTGCATTTTGAGGTTCTTTGAGTTGTACTTTGAGTTTAAAAAAAGACTCATTGACCAACTCTCTCACCTTGGACCTTGTTGTTGTCCGAACAAGTTCCCCGGTCACAGTGAGTCGGCTTTGCTACGGGAAAAGGGTTGTGGAGTGATGAACAACTTGGTACCGGTGGAGGCATACTGGTCATTGGGAGTTCAGGGCACAGCCACACAATAACAAAACACAAACAACTGGTTAACAGTTCAACGTCACTAATTGTTTGTTCTTGAATTCGATGTTGCATAGTTGCAACGCCAGAATCCGCAAAAAAAAATACGATCCTCGTTCTTTGGATTTTGAACCTACTGAAACGCCGCCGAGTGAGACCCATGTGGCTCAGTTCAGTTTGGCTTGGGAAGAAACATAAATTGTTATTGATCACTTGAAGCAGCCCCAAATCAAGTCGCCAAGTTCAATTTTGTTTTTTTGTTTGCACGTGTCCCGTCTACATTAGTCAACTCCCAAATCATCGAAGATCATACCCAGCGGATCCAAAGCAGTGAAAAGACGAACACTGCGCAACTGACGGCTACAGATTCCCCTATTCTGTGGCTGGCCATTTGGCGACTGTGGTCCACGGCTGCATTGCTTCCTTGGGGCACATGCGCTGACCACACACCACGAGTTTCACGCGGACCAGGGTGACCTGTTGCTGAATTGGCTCTTTGTATACAGCTTGAGCCGCGCCAGCTCTTCCATATGCATTCCACGGCTTGAGCTCCCTTGGAGCTGTGACGATGGCACGATCTGCCGACGGCAGAATCCCAAAGGAGTGAACGGTCACGGTACTTGTTCATTCGACCATGTGAACTGTCCACAGCTGACTTTTGAAGAACATATATGAAAAAAGTGAACGATATGATTATAGACAAACCTCTCCAAGTCGATCCTCGGATCTACGAACTTTCCCCTGCCAGAGACAGCAACCTGGGCATGCAGCAACATGGGTCCATCCCACGTTGAGCATGTACACTCAAGGGTTCGCAGGGCGAAGCTCGGCCAGCCGTCTGAGGAAAAGTCCAACACGTTCCCTCAGGATGACGTGCAGGTTTGGTGCTTGATTGCCTCAGGCCATTGATATTCTTCGTTAGTTCCTAAACTGAAAGGCCACGAGTGTTGGCCACCCCGTCGAACAGAACAGCGCTTCAAGGGAAGGTGAAGGTCACTCTATGATTCTATGTTCTGCGCGAAACATGTTAATTTTTATCACATAAAGCCTCATCACACCAACCATGTCAGCCTTGAACAAGCTAGGATTGATGTGGCCGGCTCCGGGGCAAAGGTGCCACTCAACTCAAAGGTGTTTTCAAGCGCCGCAAGAAGCACTTCGGGCTCATTCCGAGACAATTCCAAGAAGCACTTCGGATCGTTCTGCAAGAAGTCACTGTTAGTCGGCGCCAGATTCCCACTATTGTGTGGTTGGACTCGACAATATGCAATCGGGCCTCAAAGTGTCAGTATGCATCAACGATGGGGTGCCCGCACCGTCATCCATGGACTTATTTTGAAGGACAACGACCATTGGACTCATGATCTGGTTCCATCGCCAAGGATGGAAAAGCTCAGCTTCTAGCCTTCTAGCCATAGCGATGCCACCTTCGCCCAAATGAAGCTGCTATCACTGGACCTCCTCCAAAGGAACAGGAGCTCGCATGCGGATGGAACATGGGTGCTCTAATCTAAATTCCGGTATGGGTCACACATGGGCCGGCAGGAGCACACAGAGACCGGCTGGTCGACCTCACAGCGACACTCCCTCCTCACAGTCGGCCCATGTACAGCATGACTTGATGGAAGCTTTTCGGTTCATTTGCAAACAAGAGAGGACCATACTTGGATATGTTGATCCCTTCAATGAAGCATCTTCCGGCAGATCCACCACCCAGAGGAGTGGAACCCGTGCCATGTGGTCCAGTTTGGTGAGACATGTGGTGCCAGTGTGGTATGCTTCTCAAGGCTACATTGAAATGTGTGCTTTGGGTCGGTCTATCCGAGTCTACCTGTAACAGCGGATTATGATGGGTAGTAAAGGCCTTGTTCAAAAATAGTGATACTTGTTTGCTGACTGTTGCAGGTAATAGGACAAACCCAATGTATGCTTCTCCAAGCAACAGGGTTGCATGTTCTTCATATCTGCCTACACGGAGCCTCCGGGAGCATATATAAATTCCTCTTTGCTTCTTCAAAGACATCAAACATCGGTACATGAGGACCTCTCCAACATTCTCCAAGCTTCACATTCCACCTTTCTCAAGGTAGGATCAACGTCTAACATTCAAAAAGAACAGTTCCTCACTGCACGTCTACGAGTCTACAACACCTTCTCCTCCCCATGGCACCTCGTTCGCGGACATCGTTCCACCGCCGCTCCGGCCCGCGGCCGCTCCTGCAAGAGCTCCGGCG